GGTCTGAGAGTGTAACGCCCCAAGCTCACCACGAACAAATATTGACCTCTTTGGATTTCCCTTAAAGTTTTTAAAACACATACGTTAGAGCCAGGTTTCCCCACCCTATGAAGAATGTTTTGACACTCCTTCCCTTCTCCAATCGATGTGGGATCCCCAATCCACCCCCCTTCGGGCCCAACATTCTTGCTGGCACACTACCTCGTGTCCACCCCCCTCGGGGATCAGCCTTGTCTGGCTCTGATACCATTTGTAACAACCCAAACTCACTGTTGGCAGATACTGTTTTTTTTAGGCTTTCCCTTTCGAGCTTCCCCTCAAGGTTTTTAAAACGCGTCTACTACAAAGAGGTTTCCATACCCTTATAAAGAATGCTTCGTCCTCCTCTCCAACCGACGTGGGATCTCACAACAGATGCATTATTGTGGTAGACTGCACAACATTTGAAATCCCACATCAGTTAGAGAAGAAAACGAAGCATTCTTTATAAGGGGAAACCTCTCCCTAGTAGACGGAAAGCCCAAAGGGGACAATATCTACTAGTAGTGGGCTTGAGCCATTACAGAGAGAAAAACCGATAAAGAAGGAGCGGGGAGGGAGGGAGGGAGGCGTCCTAAACTTATCATTTCCATCATGTTTACTTGAAGTAGAGTATATCCCAATCCAAGAGAGAGTGTTGTAAATGATGGGGAAAAGAGTGGTTTTAAAGGCTAATGTCCCTACACTCTGAGATCCTTTCAATGCAGATGGGGCTCCCACTACCTGATATCTTCCACCACAATGGGGCTCTAAATATCTTGTATTTCCACTGTGGAGAGCCTCTCCCTAAGTTCTCAGCCTAATCTCTGCATTAAATAATTTCAAAAAGCTCTCAACTAACACTCCAACAATCTTAGCTTTGGTTTTGGGCTGTTCTTCCTGTCCAAACTAACCTATCAGACAACGCCACTTGGAAGACAAAAGAATGAGTGACTCAAACTGCAAGTTTACGCAAACCAATGGCCTAATCTTAAAAGTTGTTCAAAAAGGCAAATTACTAACTCTTTAAGCAAAGCAACCAAAACTCGTAATAATTGATGAATGAGTAGAAGAGGAATAGATTATTCACAAGAGCAATATAAAGCTATAATTACTCAAAATTTTTATACATCAGTGACGATCGATTGCCACAGTATGTTACGAATGCCCCTGTTCGAACAACTGAAGCAATGATTCAACTCGAGTTTTAGCGAAAAATAAGGAAATTTTTCGCGGATTTTGTAATTTACAAGGGCAAGTTAAGACAGTAGTAGTGGAAAAATATTACAGATCCCTTCTACATAAAGGGCAAGAGCCATGAGTAAGAAGCCATTTATCAATGCAGGGCAAATGGAACATGTGATGGCAATATGGTAAACTTCTTACAGTCTCTCCTAGTTGAAAGTCCTGGGAAAATACGACCCGAAAATACGATTAAGTAGCCATTTCGATGACGAATTGGTATATAGATTCAAAAGTTAGAGACTAACCTGAAGGCAAACAGAACAACAGACTCGCTCGCCGTAAGCATCTACGCTGTTGTTCTTAGATACTAAGATCTTGGGGATTTTCTCGACCGAGTCCCCAGGCAATCCTTTTGCGCTACTCGTATCGAAGATGTTCGGGATGTCGTCAAAGCTCGTCTCTGTAGCACCCATCTGATTCACACCAAAACCAGAATATTTCATCATTCTAAATCGAGCTACAGCTATACAATTCATCAATGGCATTGTAAAGCTACCTGACTTTGAACTGCGCTCAATATGGCTGGACCGATCCGTTCTCGAACAAGTCGTCCGCTGAGGAGGCTTGCAATGACATCAATCTATACAGAATAACAAACATAATTGATGTTGGATTACCAGAGAAGCCATTTTTCAACTCAAAAGATTTGGATACAAAGTTTGCTCACCAGATAAAGAAGACAGCCTATTCCTGATTCATCTGATTGCCAAAGAACCAAAGAAGATTCAAAGACTTCAATGGAGAAAACAGCTCCAGAAATTGCCCCAACAGCCGCTCCTCTAACAAACCCACTCTCTGTTTCTTGGCCAATCAATGCGCCAGTCATGGCCCCAAGCAAAGTCCCCACTGCCAGAAACAACAAAGAACAATTTCATTTCCTTGAAATCCAAATAAGTTTCAGAAACCCTGTTTTTCTGTTCTTCTTCTTCTCCTTGATCAGATGATTATCATAAAGAAAACGCATAAACACAGAGAAATGATGGGAAGAAATGCAGAAGATGAATGAGAAACAAACCTAGGGCGAAGAAAAAAGTGAAGATCGCGGACAAGACGTTGCCAAGAATCGCAGAAACCGCATAGCAACAAATGTCTCGAACTCTCTCAAAGAGATTACCAAACGAAGGCGACGAAGATGAAGAAAATCGAAATGGATTCGCGATGAAATCCATGGAAATCAAAAGGGTCGATCCAAAATCGAGAAGCGAAAATGGGTTTTAACGATATAAGATTGGGGATTTCAAAGAACTTAACGCTTAAGAAGAAGAAGAAGGAGGAGGTGGAAAGCAACCGCATCAACCAACTCGCATTTAACGCTCTCTTTGCTTCGAAGAGTTTTATTCGCGCTCCAAATTAAAGGGTTTAGGGATAATAAATGGAGAGATTGCATTGAAAACGATCCGAGAAGAAAAGGGAAAATAAGAAGAAGAAAAAGGAGGGTTGGGGATGGCTTGCTTCAGCGTGTAGTTCAGGGTAATTAATTGGGCCACAACAAACCCTACCAATTTGCAATGCCAATTCCAGATTCATCTAAAATGGCTTTACCCCAAACGAAGAGGATTCGAGATCGACATACCAATGCCATCTTCTCGCTCCTCCTCCTCCACAAATCTACCGCCGATCAAGTGCCTCCACCGTCACCAATTTCCTCCATTGTTTTTTACTTTTTTTAACTTTGATGTTCAAACGTTTCTTATTTGCCTTTCGGAGATTTTGAGGCTGTGGGGGGTTCGGTGCTGCATAAATTTTGTTTGTCGTGTTTGGTGTTCATACATCTATTAAATATTCTCAATGTCTCATCAATATTTAAATAAAACTTTTCTATGAGCACAACACAAATGTTTTAAGTTCTATTATTATTTGAAATTTTGTTGTAAAAAAAAAATATATATATTCAATAGGTCAAAAACATGAGATTTAGGAATTTGGTTGGATTATGTTGACTTTTCATGTTTCAAAATCTTTGACATTTTTTGTTCTTCATTTCGACCAATTCATCTATTACTACCAAACCACGCGTTTTCATCTCTCTTTCAGACGTATCCTTCGTTTCTCGTGTCCATGTTGAGTCATTTATGCGTATTGCACCAATGAGGAGTCTCATATACTAACCTCCAACTCAAAGGATAAGGCGCAATGTGAGCGCACCCGTGTTGTTTGACACTCGTTTCGAAAACCCAATTCTAAAAGAAGACACCCGAAATGCTTACCTATACTATGACACATGCATGAATTGTGAGGGCTTATGACTATTTTAAAAGGGATGGGTTGAAGACTAAGAACATGTTTTGAGACAACGTTTCAACTAAGAACTTAAAGCTCTATTGTAAGCAATTGAAAAGTCATTTCAACTCGAACCAAAGATTCATAATGAATGAAGGAGGTAGTTTAAGCCTCTACGTCCCTTCGTCATAATGATAGCAAAGACAATGACCAAAATTGATAGTTATTTATTATTTATTTAATACTCGTTGATTTTATTAATTTTTATTTAATGAACTTAAAATAAAATAAAATACCACAACCAAAATGTGAAAAGAAATAAAAAATTTAAAATAGTTGCTTAAATTTAATTAATTATGTCGATTTGTATTCTAAATTTCTAATTTCTTTCCTACTGCGTTTCAATTTTAACCTTAAATTAAAAGTGTAATGTAAATTTTCCTCCATGATTAATTTTTTTTTTTTTTTTTGAAATTATGTTAAGAAAAATATTTTTATATGTATTCAATTAATTATAAACATTTTACCGTGGAGATCCACCCGAAATAGAGATAGAATTCCTGCTTAGACATAAAATAGGAGAGGGAGTCGACAACATTTATCTCATGTTAGATGAATAGGGTCAGGGACAAGATTCTATTTTCCATCCTCATCCCGCCCAATTCCCCTTATCGCTCCATTTAATATAAATATATTTTACACACACTTCAATTTTAAACGATGACGACACAGCTAACAATGAGTACCATAACTATACCATTGAAACTTTAACTCGCCTCTATGTTAGAAAAGAACTCATAGAGTAGAAGTAATTCATTGATTTAAAAATGATCTCAAACACTTCATAGCTAAAACTACAGTCCTAATGAGCTAACTCCTTAGAAGCGTCTAATTCGTGAATTTGTTATAGCTATGACTTTGGGTTCATTTGGAATGATTTTTTAAGCACATGAAAAGTCATTCTAAACAAACCTTAGTGAAAACACATGGTTAAGCAGTAGCCTTGCTTGCATGAGAGATGTAGTCAATAACTTTGGTGGTGACTCGAACGAGATTAATCTAATAAGTGACCAATCTAAACATAACTCAACAACTAAGTAAAATATACGGTTAAGAACATGTATATATATATATATATATATATATAGAGAGAGAGAGAGAGAGAGAGAGAATGAAATTAAAGATAAAGAGTACCTCTAATTACTTGTCCTTGGTTAATGCAGGTTCCTGCAGATCTGGTGATTGACCATTTAGTAGAGGTTGACATGGCAAGATCAGATAAGGCTGTGGAGGTCAATATGAAGATCTCACACCGACCAATGTGAGATCTCACAATTACCATTTGTAACAGCCTAAGCTCACCGCTAGCAGATATTGTCCTCTTTGGACTTTCCCTTTCAGGCTTCCCTTCAAGGTTTTTAAAACGTGTCTGCAAGGGAGAGGTTTCCACGCCGTTATAAAAAATGTTTTTTTCTCCTCCCCAACCGATGTGGAAGGTTTGAAAATATGTAGAGATCTATGTTAATCCTTATATTCTTATATGTAGAGATCTATGTTAATCCTCATATTCTTACTTCATTGTCGGCTCTTCAAAATCATTAGCCCTTTTAGTTAATCATAAAGGGAGAAAAAAAAGGAACCTGATTTTTCTTAAGCTGGACCTCCAATCCTTGCACAATGCTTGGAGCTGCTTTGGTTGCTAAGAAAGCTTGTGAGCTTGGTTTAGAGGTGTGCAAAATTTTCCCTCGTTTCTACCTCCTTGTGTTGCCTGCATCAATAATTTATTTCAGTAAGACAATGGAAACCAAAATGAAACGTTTAATTAAACATATTCCCAAACGTACCCGAGATATTCGGTCTTCTGCACAGGTTAAGCCTTGGATAAAAACCAGTCTTGCTCCAGTTTCAAGAGTGGTAACCAAATACTTTGAACAGAGGTACTCACTATCAAACTCCCCAAATGCTCTCCTGTTGTTAAATGAGACATAAAGATTGGATCAAAGAATTTGACATAGAATTAACTATTCTAATTCAATTATTCTTCTGAATGGGAGTTTTTCTGGTTTGCCTTGTTGTACGAATGATTATATTTCAACAGTCAAGAATTGGATTTGATCAGCTGGGGTTCAATACTGTTGGATACGATTGCTTTGAATACCCTGCAGTAAGCAAATAAATTTCTGACAATGCCAATGAAAAGTTTAGTTGTTCCCATTTGTACCCTTTGGCCTCTCTAGCTCAGGTAAGCAATCGAATTCGGCCATTCGATCCGGAAACAGGAACTTTGAGGGTCGTGTACATTCTTTGACGAGGGTCAATTATCTTGCCTCTCCTCCCATGTGAGGATATTTGCTAAAACCATCCCATTGAAATGATGGTGAAGTTCTCCATTTATAATCATCAAATAAATTACAAAGAAAATGGAAAGAGCAATAAATGAATACAAGATATTTGCTTATATAATAAAAGGTCATATATGATACCTATGGTAAACCATAATGGAAAGAAAATATCTAGATATTTGCCTTTAATAAAAGGTCAAATATGGTACCTATGGTAAACCGTAATGGAAGACTAAATATCCTTAACACCTTGGTGGTTGCCTACGCTCTTAGCGGACACGATAAGGTTCAGATGGTCTAAATTAACAACTCACTATTTTGATCATGGAGGAACTCTACACTATGTGATAAACCTGTCAATGCCTTCCCCTTTCCAGTGTCCAGAAAATATAAGAACAACCCTCCCTTTTCACTTGAATTGCTTTCTTTTTGCCTAGCAGGGCTTAAACTAGGAGTTAGTCCAACTATTTCTGCAGCCACTGGGCTGGATGACATGCATTTAGCTTGCTTTTACTTCCTTAAGCCATGCTCTTCAGACTTCTCTTTATCAGAGATTAGAGATAAATACAAGATGAGAGAATAAAGACATGTTTCCTAAAAGATGAACATAGAGATAAAGAATGAACAGATTGCTGCAATAGTAAACGAGAATATTTCACAAGCATTCGATTGAAGTTCAACTTATTTGTACAGTATGGTGTATTGATGATGCAAACAATATTCACAGATCCCAGGGCAGAAACAACCATCTATGATCTATATAAAAGTTGAAAAAACAGACACAAATTCATAGAAAGAACCTTTCAAACCCTAATGCGCGATAATCAATATATTTCAACTCTCAGAGGAAATCCGAAGCTCCTTGATCTTGAATCTGTATCTAGGAGCTCGGGGAATAACCTGGCTAGGTCCGAAGTGGTACTGACCAGGACTATCGGTGAGAGGAGGCCCATCGTCGTAAACATAGCCGACGAGACGCGCACATGAATTGCACTTGATCTTGGTGCGTTTCCGCTGGATTCCCCAATAGTTGACGGTCTCGAAGAATGGGCGGAGCTTGTCCTCTTTCTCGAGCCTGAACTTGGTGGAGTCGATCAAGGAAAACGAAAGCGTGCCCTTGTTTCCGGCCTCGAAATAGAAATCCGGCGGGAAGAGATGACTGGAATTCAGATTCAGATTTGCTCCGCATTCCGCACAGGAATAGATGGAAGCCATTGTTGACGAGAAATTCAGAGGATTAGTGAGAGATTTTGGGCTGTATGTAACAGGATTTGAAAATCTGATAACGTCGTATGCCCCAAGTTTCAAACGAAGATTGAACGAAGGTTCTTCATACAAAATCGTGGCCTTTTTTTTGACTGCAAATAACAAAGTCGTCGTCTTTTTCTTCGCTGTATATATATATATATATAAGAATATATAATTAAAAAAAGAAGACATTAAACCTTCAAACACGTAAAACTCAATAAAATTTTGAATATAATATTTAAATTTTGTTTAGTAAATATATGAAACTTAATTTTTTATTTATTTAAAATATCAATCTGGATTTATATATATTTTTCTATCAAATATTCGATAGAATAATCTTTAGTAGATAAAATAATATTCGGTAGAGATGTATTAAAATTTTTATGTTTATTTTAAAAATAATTTAAGATTGTTTTAGTTGAATTAAATTATTTATTATTTAACATAAATTCAATTTTTTTTAAAAATAGAAATAATTTTGAACAACGCTAAACCAATTCACAATTCAAATATTTAATAAATTAATTGAGAAAAAATAAAAAATAAAAAGATAAAAAGATAAAGGTCAAAATAGTAATTTGGTAGGCCGCCCAAAGGACCTGTTCGTCTATAAATAGCCCTCTAGGGCATCGACTCTCGGTTGATTTGAAGCTCTCTTCCAAGAGGGTTTGGGGGGAGAGATATTGCCGTCGATCTCCTATGAGTAGCAGCAAAGAACCAAAAGGAAAACAAACTGAAAACTTCTGAAATTTGAAGTTCGAATCCAAATAATTCCATCTGAACAAGCCCAAATTTCGCTTTTGATCTCATCAACTTGCTCTAGGGCTTTCTTTCTGCACTTCGATCGCCATGGATTTGCGATTCCCTTACTCCCCGGCAGAGGTTGCCAAAGTCCAGATGGTTCAGTTTGGCATTCTTGGCCCCGACGAGATTGTAATTCTCTTCCCATCGCCTCAAATTTGTTTTTTTTTTTTTTTTTTTTTTTTTTGTTTGATTCTGTTTTAATGTGAGGGGTCGTTCGGGGGTGAGGAATGCTTTACATATGTATGAACTGGTTCTACTCTAGGAAGTGGCTCAGTTTGGTTTTTGCAGCTCGTTCTGCTTGTTTTTGTTTAATTGGATTTAGAGATGGATTTTTGGTTAGACTTCCACGGTTTTTCATTTGATTAGTTGGGGACCTTGGCAATGTTCTTTTCTCGTCTATTAGTTCTGGTCTCTTATTCATTGCAACGCATTGCTTTAGGTAGTCATATTTGGTTTCTTCTCTCAAATTTTGAAGGAGAATTTTTTTTTTTTGGGAGTAAATAGTTCAAAATTATTATGTGTAATTGTTATTGTTTTTGAATAATTGGAAATAGGAAATAAGAAACTAGATTCTTTTTGTATGCCAATGTTTCTGCAAATGAGAAGTGGGAAATAGAATCTGCTGCAAAATGCATATGTTTCCCGAGAATGGAAAGAGGCCATGAGAAATAAAAAATGAAAATTTTTGAGCAACTACCCTTCGGTATCTAAAACCATATTCTTTGGATTGCAGAGGCAAATGTCCGTGGTGCAGATTGAGCATGGTGAAACTACGGAGAGGGGTAAGCCAAAAGTAGCCGGTTTGAGTGACCCGCGACTTGGTACAATTGATAGAAAATTGAAGTGTGAAACTTGCACTGCAAATATGGCTGAGTGCCCTGGGCACTTTGGGCACCTTGAGCTTGCCAAGCCAATGTTTCATATTGGGTTTATGAAGACCGTTCTCACTATCATGCGTTCTGTTTGCTTCAATTGCTCAAAGATTCTCGTTGACGAGGTTAATTCTTAATACTATATTTGATGCTTTCTGGATTTGTTTTCTTTTATTCTATTCTTCAGCAAATTAGAAATTCACGGTACACATTATGAAGGATTCCAGAAGACTGCATAGGATTACATTGGCTAGGACTCTTATGGTGTTAGACCATGTAATTAGTTTGTTACAATTTTTCAGAGTAAAGTGGAAAAGATAATTGGGATGTATCTTTTGATGTTGGGATAATGGGAATTTGGGTATAGGTGATCATTATCTTATTGAGTTATTCTAGTCTTTTATATGAAAATAGTCGATTTCCCTCAGCAAATTCATTTATCATCTTTCAGGATGACCCCAAGTTTAAGCAAGCAATGCGGATAAAGAATCCTAAGAACAAGCTAAGGAAGATTTTGGATGCCTGCAAAAATAAAACCAAGTGTGAAGGTGGAGATGAAATTGATGTCCAAGGTCAAGACCCAGATCAACCGGTCAAAAAGGGTCGGGGTGGCTGTGGTGCTCAGCAGCCTAAGATCTCAATTGATGGTATGAAAATGGTTGCAGAGTACAAGGCTCAAAGGAAGAAAAATGATGATCAGGAGCAGCTGCCTGAACCTGTGGAAAGAAAACAGACACTTAGTGCTGAAAGGGTGACTATTTTCAATCCCAATTAACATTATTTTTTGTAATTAATTTTGTGCGTATCTCTTCCATGAGGTCATAGTTTGATGTATTCTTGTAGGTTCTTGGTGTTCTGAAAAGAATAAGCGATGAGGATTGCAAACTCTTGGGCCTAAATCCGAAGTATGCCCGGCCTGACTGGATGATTCTGCAAGTCCTTCCAATTCCTCCACCTCCTGTGAGACCATCGGTTATGATGGACACCTCATCTAGAAGTGAGGTATGTCTGTTCTGCTTTTGTTTTCTGATGTCTAATTGTTTCTTATTTGTTTACTGCTTCCCAATAAAATTCATTTTACTTTTCTAGTTAGTTTCTGAGATAGTGTTACGATTCTTTTGACAATATTAGAGGCAATTTTAATATGGTATCTCTTACTGCAGGACGATCTAACTCATCAGTTGGCTATGATTATAAGGCACAATGAAAACCTCAGGAGACAAGAGAGAAATGGTTCTCCTGCACATATCATTTCAGAGTTCGCACAACTGTTGCAGTTTCATATAGCCACGTACTTTGATAATGAATTACCCGGACTACCCAGGGTATTGTCTCTTTTTAAGCTATATCATGTTTTTTTTCGAACTATTTATTTTTTTTACATTAGTGTGCTGCTTTAATATAGGCTACACAGAGGTCTGGGAGGCCCATTAAATCTATTTGTAGTAGGCTCAAGGCAAAGGAAGGTCGGATAAGAGGAAACTTGATGGGGAAGCGTGTAGATTTTTCAGCACGAACCGTTATAACACCTGATCCAACAATTAATATTGATGAACTGGGAGTACCGTGGAGTATTGCTTTGAACCTTACATATCCGGAGACCGTGACACCATATAACATAGAAAGGTCCATGTTTTTGAAATCATTGCTCGCTTTTTGATTCTTTCCCCTTCACAATATTTATTGCTTGCTCTTTGTTTCTCTTTTCAACATCAGGTTGAAGGAACTTGTTGAATATGGTCCCCATCCTCCACCTGGTAAAACTGGTGCCAAATACATCATACGGGATGATGGGCAGAGGCTTGATCTTAGATATCTTAAAAAAAGTAGTGATCATCATTTGGAGCTTGGGTACAAGGCAAGATTTTCTAATCATGCATGCAATCTAATAATTTTAGGCGTTTTATAATTCCTACCTGATTATTTGCTGCTGTGATCATAGGTGGAGCGTCATTTGAACGATGGTGACTTTGTACTTTTTAATCGTCAGCCTAGTCTCCATAAAATGTCTATTATGGGACACAGAATCAAGATTATGCCGTACTCCACTTTCCGTCTAAATTTATCTGTGACGTCACCTTACAATGCTGATTTTGACGGTGACGAAATGAATATGCATGTTCCTCAGTCATTTGAGACAAGGGCAGAAGTATTGGAGCTCATGATGGTTCCCAAATGCATTGTGTCACCTCAGGCAAACCGTCCTGTAATGGGTATAGTGCAAGATTCTCTGTTAGGATGCCGTAAAATTACAAAAAGGGACACCTTTATAACGAAGGTGAGAGTAATATGATTGTTATCTCTTGTCCTTATAGTCTTCAAATATATTTTTTTGTTGTAAGTTGGGATTATGAAATTGCGTCAATAAATTTGCAGGATGTTTTCATGAATATCTTGATGTGGTGGGAAGATTTTGACGGGAAAATTCCTGCCCCAACAATTTTAAAGCCACAACCTCTTTGGACCGGAAAACAAGTTTTTAATCTTATTATACCAAAACAGATTAATCTCACGAGAACTTCTGCTTGGCATTCTGAGTCAGAAACTGGGTTCATAACTCCTGGGGATACTTTTGTTAGGATTGAGAAGGGGGAACTACTTACTGGAACTCTTTGCAAGAAGGCGCTCGGATCATCAAATGGAAGTCTTATACATGTTATTTGGTAAGCATTAGCAGTAGTGATATGCACTGCTTTTCACAAGGATGTGGTCTGTACTCATCATCATTATCATCTCTTAAAAAGTATTTGCACTCATTTTTAAAGTTATGGTAGTTGCTATGTTCACTTTTTGAAAAGATCTGTTCTGACTTGTTTGACTAATTGGATATGTCTTCATCCCATTAAAAAAAAAAACAAAAAAGTTCTGCTTTCGGGATGCAGCTTTCAGAAGGTATGCCACTTAGAGATGGTTGTTGGCGTTTCAAAAATCACGTTCTTCCGTTTGGGTTGCCTAGATTAAGGATCTTAACAGTCTTCTAAAAAAAATTGACAGGAACTGCCTTTTATTGCCATTCTTTATAAAACTGTAGCTCAAATTGTAAATTCACATATTTTTCTTTTAAAATTTATTTATTATACTAAAACACTTGGTCTACATTTTATTTTCCATGTAACTCTCTGGGAACTGCTTTTCCAAAACTTTCCAAACCGGCTTTTGTAAGGCCTCCGATTCCCTTCTCTTTGTGGTTTGTAGAAAAGTTGCCTTCTGTTTTGTGTAACGTTCATTTTTTTGTCCCGTTTCTAATCATCTAAATGTTTTCAGGGAGGAGGTTGGTCCAGATGCAGCACGAAAATTTCTGGGTCATACTCAATGGCTTGTTAATTACTGGCTTTTACAGAATGCTTTTAGCATTGGGATCGGGGACACAATTGCTGATGCAGCAACCATGGAGAAAATTAATGAAACTATTAGTGCAGCTAAAAATGAAGTGAAAAACCTCAT